GCTATGGAGGAAGAGATGTTAGCTCTTGAGATGAATGATACTTGGGATTTAGTTCATCTTCAAGGGAAAACAAGCTATTGGTTGCAAGTGGGTTTACACTGTGAAAGTTAATCTGGATGGTTTTATGGCTCGTTTGAAGGCATGACTTGTTGCAAAAAGGTATGCTTATTGCCCAAACTTATGGCATTGACTACATTGATACGTTTTCTCTAGTTGCTAAACTCTTATTTGTTCACATCTTCATCTCTCTTGCGGCTATGCATCATTAGCCATTATTCTAGTTAGATGTCAAGAATGTATTCTTGCATGGAGACGTACAAGAAGAAGTGTACATTGAGCAACCACTTGGCTTTGTTGCTCAGGGGAAGTGTGGAAGAGTGTGTCATTTAAAAAAGTCATTATATGGCTTGAAATAGTCACCTAGAGCATGGTTTAGAAGATTCAGTGACGTGATTCTAGAATTTGGATTAGTGAGGAGTGAGAGTGACCATACAATGTTTTACAAACAGATTAACCTTGATTGTATTTTACTTGTTGTTTATGTTAATGATATTATTGTTACAGGTAGCAACAAAGGAGAAATAAGCAACCTAAGAAAATTTCTTCAAACCAAGTTTCAGACAAAAGATTTAGGAATTCTAAAATACTTATTGGGTATTGGAGTCATGTACTTCAAGTACGGAATCTTTTTTTAACAAAAAAAATGTCTTAGACTTATTGACTGAGACCAAACTAAAAAGAGCTAAACCATGTGAGACACCCATAGAGCCAGGAGTGAAACTGACAGCAGATGGAATTCCTTTTGCAGATCCACAGAAATACAGAAGATTAGTAAGCAACCTGAATTACTTAACTGTCACAAGGCCAAATATTACTTTTCCAGTGAGCGTTGTTAGCCAATTTATGCCATCTCTGATAGATACTCATTGGGAAACACTAATCCTCATTGCAAAGTATTTGAAGAAAGCACTATGAAAAGGAATTGTGTATAAAGATCATGGACATGCACATATAGAGGCGTTTTCTAATGCTGATTGGGCAAGATCTATGGACAGAAAATCTACTACTGGATGTTCTGTGTTCTTGGGAGGTAATTTAATTTCATGGAAAAGTAAGAAGCAGAATGTTGTATTGAAATCGAGTGCAGAATCAGAATACGAAGCAATAACTCAGACTACCTGTGAGTTAATGTAGTTGAAACATATGTTGGGAAAAGATAGGATTTGACAATACTAAGCCTATGCAACTTTGGTGTGATAATAAGGTAGCAATATACATTGCCTCAAATCTAGTTTTTCATGCACGGACGAAACATATTAAGATAGATTGTCACTTTATTCAAGAAAAAGTTCAGCAAAGCTTATATTTATCTCTCATGTTAGGACAGGCGACCAATTAGCATGTGTTTACAAAGGCTTTAGAGGGAAGGTTATGAATAGCTATAATAAACTTATTAGAATTAGAGTTTATGTTAATATTGTAATAACGGACTTAGCCCATAAGGGTTATATATGTATCCTTATAAATATAAGGGTCTCTACACATTGTAGAGCATCTATCTAATTCTAACACACTAACTATCTCTCTCCCTCTATGCTCTCTCTCTTAATTCTACAAAGACAAATGCTGGAGACTTCATGGTAAGCCTCCAAATCCAACCCAAAACTGGACAACTAAAGGAAAGCAAGGAAGAGGGCAGGCTCAAGTCCATATGGCACAACTAGGGTCGGTACAGGGAACCTCTTCCAAACCCTCCACAGAGTTTGACTCAGAGAAGATTAGAAAACTAAAGGAGTTATTGGGAACATTAACAAAACCTATAAACCCAGGTAATTGTCCCTTGGTATTCTCAGGTAATATTCTCAATTCCATGCACTTAGTTGCTTAGATTCCTCTAAAGGAGTATGGGTTATTGATTCTAGAGCTACAGACCACATGATTTAGTCCTCTAGTGGTTTTATCTCCTATAGACCTTGTCCAAGCAATAAAAAAATTGCAACCGCAGATGGAACGTTAATTATAGTCACTGGAGAAGGATATATTATCATAAACAAAAATCTGATTTTGAAAGATGTTTTACATGTGCAAAATTATCTATAAAATTTCAGGATTAGGGAACGGGGAAGATCATTGGCCTTGCAAGGAGAACAATGGACTCTACCTTCTTGAGGAAGTTAATAGGATGTGTAGCACTAAGAGTCAAAATCCTGTCTTTTTCACTGGGAGTCAAAATCCTGTCTTTGTTGTCATAATCATCTCTCTCAAATAAAGAAAAAATCTAGCTGTATCACCTTCATTTAGGTCACCCTTCATTTTCTACCCTAAAGGTCATGTTCCCTAGTTTATTTCAACAACTTTGTGTTGTGGATTATTTCATGGTGATACTTGTGATTTTGCACAACATAGACGTGTCAACTTTCCTATTAATAATAATAAAAGAATGCCAGTTCCTTTTTCCCCCTTCTAATATTCCAAATATAACTCGGGTATCATGGGTGTTTCTCTTAAAACAGAAAAGTGAGGTGAGCCAAGTCTTTAAACACTTCTTCCAAATGATAAAAATCAATTTGAGGCAACAATTAAAGATTTCGTTCTCACAATGCCAAAGGTTACTTCAACCAAACAGTGTCTTCTTTCTTCAATGAACAAGGAATCATTCATGAATCCTTGTGTCAACACCCCACAACAAAATGGGGTGGCAGAATGGAAAAATGGGCATTCTATAACTGTTACCTAGGCCTTGCTTCTACAAAAGAATGTTCCAAAACAAATTTGGGGGGAAGCTATCCTTACTCACTTATTTAATCAATCGATTACCCTAAAAAACATTGAACAATAACAGTCCAATTCAGCTATTCTCCAAATCTTTCCCAAACATCAAAACAACAAATCCCCTTGTTCCTCGGATATTTGGGTGTGTATCTTTTGTCCATGTCCATTTTAATCATCGAGGGAAACTTGACCCTCAGGCTATTAAGTGCATATTTGTCATTTGATGAAAATACACAATTTTTCCAGCCTTATCTTGAGGGGGAGAGCTCGTGCATGGAAGATAAGGATGATCTGTTCTTACTAGATAACTCTTTCAAAGAATGTTTCTCATTCCTTGAATCAAGTCATGTTCATACTCCATCTATTTCAATCCCTGAGTCAACTCCGACAAACATTCCACCTGTTTGAAGCCCAAAGACAACTGAAGAACAGACCCAAAGTGCTACCCGTCCGCACTACAAGTCCCAGATTCTAAAACACCTGAAGCTGATTTTGAACGAATACCTGAAGCAAATAATGTGTCAAAAGTGCAGAATATGCCCATTGAAAATGGGACCACTGAAGATGGTAATCTTCCAATTACAGTAAGAAAAGGTATTAGAACATGTGCCCAAAGGCCAAGGTATTCACTAGCCCACTTTCTGTCCTATGATAAATTATCCAAAAATCATGGAAGCTTCCTTACTCATTTAAACAGTCACTATTCCAAAAACTGTTGATGAAGCGTTAAACAGTAAGAACTAGAGTGATGCTATGAAGGTTGAAATAGATGCACTAGAAAAGAACAAAACATGGGAGTTGGTAGAATTACCTAGAGGAAAATTACTTGTTGGATCACATTTTTACTGTTAAATACAAGGCATATGGGACATTAGAAAGATTTAAGGCAAGGTCAGTGGCTACGGGATACACTCAAACATATGGGGTAGTTTATCTTGACATGGACAAACTTAAAAGGACCTGACATTGTGTACACAGTAGGGGTGGTAAGTCAATTCATGAACAATCCTAAAGAAACTCATCTTAGAATGGTTTATCGCATTCTGCAGTACTTAAAAGGAACTCCTGGAAAAGGAATTCTGTTCACAAAAGAGAAGGATAACCTGTTATATGCCACCTGATCCTTCAAGTACACCACCTACCCTCGAGGTTTTCATTGCCTTACACAAAGATATTCAATCATCTCATAATCATAACCTGTTATATGCTTACATTTCAAATTACAGTCGTCTCTCTTTCTCCTATTTTTCTTTTTTCTTTTTGGATTTTATTTCTATTCCCAAGACTACAAAGGTTAAGCCCTAGCTGATCCCCATTAGAGACAAGTGATGTTGCATGAAATGACTATTTTGCACTCTAGTGACACATGGACCTAAGTTACCTGATGAATATTGATCGTTTCAAAGCCTCCTCCGTAGCCAAAAGATACATGCAAAATTTTGGTCTCAACCATTAGAACACTTTTTCTCCTGTAGCCAAGATCACTTCAGTCTCCCACTTTCATGCCAAAGCAGCCATTCATCATTTGTCTTGTGTCATGAAACGCAATTGTACAAAATAAATTGGGGGAGGTACTAGAGCAGAACACAAACAGGTAGTGTTCCCTAACACACCTGTGTTATACACCAAAAATAAAAATCAGAATTTAAACTTCATAAAAAAAACTCTAGGAGCCAAAACTAGGCATGACCGCCAAAACTTTATAGATCATCCATGCATGCACAAAGACTGCAGCATCTGAAGGCCAAACCCCGCGCTTCCAGATCGAGCCGCCACACCACCACTCTGTGCTACCATTCCCAACCAGCCAACTACCACAAGCATCAACAGCCTTCACCACCTTAATCACATGAAAAATCTTTTTCTCTCTCTTTCTCACCCTATTCAATTTCTCCATTTTCCATTTTGTTATCTTTTTTTGTTACTGTTCACACTCTCATTTTGTCTACAGGTTATCCTTATCACCTCCAACAAGATACAAGGGAGATGACACAAGTTCTGAACAAGGTAAAAGCTCCAATTCAATGAAAAAGGATACAAGCAGAAAGGAAACTCAACTTCAACCACCACCACCCACAATTCCCAATCCTTACAAGATCATGTTCAAAGATGAAGCTCAAAAACAAAGGTATGAAATGCTATATCTTAGAACCATAAAATCTACATGTTATTTGGATGAGCATACATTGAATAACTTATTGTCTTTGAAACTTTTAAATGAGGCAAACCTGAGTTGAACGGTATAAGGTGTTAAAGATCAGGTTCCAGAACCCATTAGCCACACTCTCTCGACCATTTACAAATGCTAAGCTCTGTAACCATCGCTTGTACCTGATTATGAATGTTAAGTATTATGGATATAGAAAGGGTATTATTGATAAAATTATTACTGTAACAAATGTAACCATTTACCAAAATTTATGATAACCTTATGTATACTCCAGTATCATACTCAGGATGCATAGATGATTATATTTCCTACCAAATAAAGCTTTCAAATAGCTCCTTGTTAGTGGTAATTTAACAGAATTTAGAATGTGCTGCCCGAAAAAGCCAATAATTCTCCTTCAGGCAAGTACATTACAGCTATTGTAATTGAATCAGTGTATGGCTTTCATGCAGTTGAGTTGTAATTTGTTTAATTATGTTGTTCAGGTAGGAGAACATGAAATGAAGAGTGTAAGACTTTATAAGCCTTGAACTTCACACATATTATTAGGTTCCTATCTGTTAAGAAACTTGTGCCTCACTCACTCCCAAAAGCTAGCTCATAGGAGGAGGATTGCTTTAGCCCTTATAAGGAGTATTCTGACTCTATTCCTAGCCAATATGTGATATCTTAACACACCTCCCTCACGCCCAGGACTAGACATCTGGTATGTGAAATTTGCAGGATTGGACATTTACACGAGTAGGCCCAACATGACTAGACATCTGTGAGCAGCCCAGCATTGAAACTAACTAGGTTCTAATATCATGTTAAAAAACTTGGGAACTTGGGCCTAACTTACTCCCAAAAGCTAGCTCATAGGAAAAAGACTGCCCTAAACCTTATAGTCTGGACAATATGGGACATTTTAACATAACACACGCCTCTCACACCCAAGGCTGGACATCTGCGGGTGGCCCAACAAGACTGCATAGGCTTTAATACCATATTAAACCTAACTCGCTCTCAAAAGCTAGCTCATAAGAGAAGGATTACACAAGCCCTTATAAGGAGTATTCTGACTTTATTCCTAGCCAATGTGGGACACCTTAACTCTATCTAATACAATTACAAGCTTCAAGATGATGATGACAATAAAGCTTACAAAATAGCTTCAGGATAGGAACTTGACATACATGGTTAGAATATCATACTAAGCCACTAAAGTAACTGCTCTAATTATGGGGTTTTAGGCAGTATTATCAAATGGCGGTGGTTGTTGCCCCATTGCTCTTTTTCTTTCTCACAAACACGCTTCACATTTTGGGCCTCTTGGCAGGATCCAATAACTGATCCCTTCCCTTAATTCGTCACTTGAGCTAACAGCCCCAACACCACCTCATTTTCCATCTTCAATCACTCTTTTCCTTTTGTTGTTGAACATGACTTTATCTTGGAAACTTATGTAAATTTAATAGTAATATTACTTGATGGATTCTTTCATTTCTCAGAATAACGCCTATTATATGTTCTAAGCTCTCCAATACTAGAAGCTTCATAAACAATTCCCAAATTTGAAGTGTTACCATCATAAAAACTAAGTCATTTCCAGTGTCATCATTCATCTCTCCAACCAAACACTCATTATACTCATCAGTATCATTAAGTGTAATTGGATTAATTACTTTTTTTAAAATTTTAAAGTTGTTGAGATGTTGGTTATATTTCACATAAACCAAATCATGCAATTTTTTATGATCAAGTCTATTTTGAATTTGTAATGTAAGGGTAATTAAAAAAGTATTGGTTAGTTTCTTTCTATTTTCTAGAACAAAGTGGCTTGAGAGATGAAAAATTACTTGCTCAAAAACACTCTAGTTGTATTCATATCTAGATGCACTAAATGTTAAGCTCAAAATTTTGATAGCTAAATGCTACAAACTTGGAGCTGAATGACTATACATTCTCCACTGTTGAGCTATAAAACAAAAAATAAATTATAACTTTAGAAGTCTTATCTATAAATTAACGTGAAATTTAAATGTTGAAGCCTTTGATAAATTACTAGCAGCAAGGTTTTTTTTTTGTGGATTTTGCAAAGTCGATTCGAAAGAGACCACAACCATAGTAGTCAAAATCGCATGTTGCCTCATAAAATTGCACAATTTTACGATCCCTAACCCCCGTCTCCATGCCAGCTCAGTGTCAGAATTGCAAACCACCAAGATTGGGTGGGATTTTCATGCCCGACAGAACTGTAAGATCGGTAAGCTTGGACAATCCACGCACACTGAGAAATCCAATTTTTTACCCAATGACCTGCAACAGTGCAGCCTTTGGCTGCCATAGACCTATCATTGTGGTTTACTATGGCAGTCATTACTGCCACATTCGCAACAATCTGGACTAATATAAGGAAACAAACCATTAAATATTTGAAAACTAATCTTAAGAGATAACTTTTATGATACTAAAATATTCTAATCAAGATGGATATAGATTTTCAGCAAGAATACAGAAAAAGTACCTTCCAAATTCTTTTTTTCCTGTTCCATAAGCTCGGACAATTCTAATTGAAGAAAGTGTCTCCTGAGATACCTGCAAAAGAAAAAGTATTCACAATTAATATAAGATTCTGATCATTATGTCAGAAACAATATCTACCAGCATAATGTGTATACATCACTGGCACAAGCTGTGAAATCTTGAATTAACTTTGCAGCTTTTCTTTGATACCTATTAAAACCACAAATACACGCTTCAGACCATCAGCACTGAAAAGGTGTGAATAAACCAGAGAGATAAATATCTATGGCTGATTTAATTGTGCAAAAATTTAAGCAAATGCATTATCACCTTAGATAGAACATAATTTTCATCTTTAAATACCCCAAAGAAAATCCTTCTCATATAAGATGGATTCTAGAAAACAAGAATTGCATGAAGTTTGTTATGACAAATCTAACCTATACAAAATTGAAACAAAAAAGAACTAAATTGAACTAAAAAACTGAAACTGAGAAAACCATGATAACATGTGTGAAGCAATTTACTTGCATAACTTCACTGCATTAGAAGGTTATGTAATAAAATTGTAGTTTGAAATTTATATCAATTTATTAAACAAACAATAATAGAAAGGATAAACAATGTACCCATCTGCAAAAGCCAACTAGAACGCCAATCACAGGGAAGGAAAACAAAATCAAATCAAGCATAGATCAGAATAAATTGAATAGCATAATTAGTCTACACGATGTATATGGATCTCTGTAAAAACAACTATCAAGGAAGAAAAAACTGGAGAGGCTTAAGAGAAATTCAATAAAGCTCAAAAAGCATTTTTGGTTATAAAAATACAAACGGATAGGAGGATAAGAGGTCCTCTCAAAAAAAATTAGAAAACAAAAGAGAACCGAAGAACAATAATAATAAAGTGAAGATAGATGTTTAACATAAAGGGGAAGATGGTACTGATGCATACTGGCCATAAACCAGGAAAATTGCTGATAAAATAGAACAAGTCACCAATGCGGAAAATGCCAGAGGCCAAGATAAAGCCATCAAATTGATTATTGCTCCTGTTCCCTAGATATAAGTAAAGGAACAGATAATATCAGAGGGAAGATAAAGTCATCAAATTGTAAAAGATTAATGTGTAATGTAAGAATTAAGACCTGACAAGTGTTGCGTAATATCAACTGAAGATCATATCCTATAACATGGGATAGTTGTTGACAATCTACTGCAAGCCTGCTTGTCAAGTCACCAACTCTTTCTTTATCAAAATAGGATATGTCCTACATCACAGATGACAAGTACAGGGTAACTGGAAAAAAAAATAGAAAAACAAAACAAATAAATAACCCAAAAAATTCCAAAGTGTCCTGTTAACCCTCTATCTTTTTACTTTGTAAAATGCATACCTGAAAAAGAATCGCTGTATATAAATTTTCTCGCAGACGCTTCACCTGAAAATTGATGTAGGAACATTGGATGGTGACGTGCACTGAATCTTAGAAAACATCAACAGTACTTTAAAAAAAAAAACACATAATATTGGAGTGAGAAAAATAGCAATAATAAGAAGAGGGTAATTCAAAGTAGTTATACACACAGAATAAATGATTCAATCAATATAGAAAACAGAAATTGTACAATGAAATAGTGAATATAGAAATTGAAAAGCTTTATTAAAGAAGGAAGGGAAAATTCTCAGGTCGGACATCTTAGTGGGAAGAAGATAGAAATGGCTAATAAAAAGTTGTTAATTATGTTAACAAGCAGTTTAACCATTCATAATTAAACATTTTTGTCTCAGTACAACATTCATCATGCCTTTCTGGCTTGAAATTTCTCCAGAAAAGAATGCATGAGTGAACCCAAAATATCATAACATCATTTTTTGTTGATAGAAAATGAAATTTAATATAATAGAAATGAAAAAGGATATGAAGCCCTTTAACAGAAACCACGTGAGATGAAAAGAAATGGAAAAACTCACCTAAGAAATAAAAAAGAATCCCAATTGATAAGGTTAAACTGAAGAGCAGACCACAACCACCAAAATAAACAAACTCTCCCTACCTCCGAAACTTCTGCAGATAAGGGAAGATCCGAAAATAAAATTAAGTTCAAAATAACTATCCCTTGATCTCCAAAACTGACCCCAACTTTTAAAAGTTAATGAAAACCTATTCAGCCTTCTATTTCCTTTAGGTCCTCCATAATTGTTGAGGTGGCTAAACTTTGAAATTCCTTATCCACCTTCTTCATGCCACATCATTACCCAACCAGTGTAACCATGCAAAAAATAATGTAATGAATATGTTAGGCCCATATTTCATGCTTATACTACAAGGAGGCAACAAGGTACTGAAGTGATGGATAATGAACTAAAAGAGGAGTTGGTTATGGTCCAAAGAAGGAATGGTGAGAAGAATGATGAGATTGTTGAGCCACAAGAAAAAGGAAGGAGGAAATCCTAAAAGAATGAGTGATAAACCATCAATTGTGCCTTTTTATCTTATGTATTTTAGGGTGGAGTTTCTTATGTTATGACAATCAACGCTTGATTTTTCACACAATTCATGAGTTCTTATGCAGAATTGAAATCTAGGAAGAAGAGACAAAGACATAAAGATCTTCAAGTAGATTTTGAGCAAGGAAAGCTAATTTTGTGCCAAAATTGAGGCATGCACAATCTGAAGCGCCTATGCATGAAAAAACATGCCCAAGAGTATACACAAGCACGCCCATGCTAGGATAAGCACAGGTCAGCATCAAATTATGCAGGATCAAATGCACAGCATCTCTTCGTTATGCACAGCTGGATGTCAATTCTTGTGCACAACTGCAAGCCCATATAAGATTCTTGTCTATGACTGTGCAAGCTTGGATGTCTGGCTGTACTTGTTAACTAACACAATTTTGATGAGTAGTCATACAGATTTACAAGGGTTATAGATAGTCCTCTTTGGTAAGGAGAATCATCTTTTAGCCATTCTTCCCCACTTTTCCCTCTTATGAAGAGACACAAGAGTCAACGAGGGCACTCCAAAGCAATTGCAGATCTTCCCTAGAGTCCTAACGTGGATCTCCCATGTTTGCTTCATCTCTGTCTCTATCCTTGTTGAAGGGGTTTTCTTTTATCTTGGTCTACATTTTCTGATTATAGATTTCTTTGGGACAATAGACTCTAGTTTATGATTTTTATTTTATCATTATCATTATGTCAGATGCATCAATAGACTTCAAAAACACAGTTCCAGCTGGACTATTTACCAAAAAATTAAGTATAGTTCTCCTTCTTTTGTCGGTCCATCCATCGGTCATTATGGTTTTTTCCATGTAGCTTTGTACTCTTCTATGATGCTATTGGTCTCCTCAACTTTTTGCTTTAAATATTTTACCCGAATCTCATGGTAAGATGGTGGCTTAAATCCAATACCATGTCGAGCAATCCCCTCACACATCTTTCTAAATTCTTCACTCTTCACAACATTGAAAAAAATTGCATTATTGTAAAAAAATGAAACAATTTCTAAACATGCATCCTCTCTCAAACCTTGCTTAAAAATTGAATTAATTGTAGATTGGGTGGTCACTCCCCTTTTCTTGAAAAGAGTTGCTGGACTCTCAACATCACCTTGTATTTTTCTTTTGCCCACATTTTCAATTTCACCCACATCACCTTATTTCCCATTCCTTCAAGCTCTTGCTGTGTTTATTTTTTTTATAAATTTTTCTTGCAATTTAACAACAATGTCCCACATTTGTTTTCGATCATCAGGGACAGCAATGCAAGCTCCAACATTTTACTTTGTTCCTGCCAAATGATGTTTGAAACGATACACTCCTCCAGTATATTCATTCTCACAATACTTGCATTTGATTCGTCTAGCATCTCCAAAAATAGAAATGCCATGGTTCCACGCTATATCATTTCTTGTTCCATGTTTGATTTTGATCTTGAACTTCCACTTCCACCAACAATACCACTCCTTGCAGCTCCAACTCCACTTAATTGAATTCCCTTTCCTTTTCTACAACCACCAACTTCCTTCCTAATATTATTCGCCATGCAACAATGAAAGAACAAACAGAGGGGATGTAAAAAACTGAAACCCACGCAAATCCACCCACACAAATAGAACCAGCCACACCCACAGAGAATTGGGAAACAGAACAGCAACCAAAATAGTGAACCAGCAAACACCAATCAACACAAAACCAATAAGAAGAGCAAATCAGAACAGCAACTAGTGACTAACGCAAAACCAATAGCAAACCAGAACAGCAAGTACCAACCAGCAACAAACACCAAGAAATGATGAGAGAATGGGTCGGGGTTGGGGTCGTAGGGGTAGGGTCGCAGTCGCATGAGAGAGAGGATGAGAGAATGGGAAAAATTTGGGGGAAAAAATAACCCTAAATCTATTTTTAAAAACCGGGTTAGAAAAACCTGACCCGGACGCCCAACCCAAAATTTCAAGCCCAGAATCTGGTCTAGAGACCTGCGCCCAGGATCGGATCGAATCTCCGATCCTACGATGCTACCCGAAAAGATCGGGATCTCGTCCGATTTTCTGCAATTGCGATCCCCATTGCGATCAAGATCGTGAGGAAGGTTTGGGATCGTAAAATCATGCGATCCTGCGATTTTAATCGCGATTTTAACAACATTGACTACAGCTATAGCAGCTCCTATATTGTGATCTTGAATTGCACCTTTCCAGCAAGGTAGTCACCTATTCTCTAATATCTATCTTACTATTTTGCATTTGTTTCCTTTTCGGTTGTCTACTTGTAACCAGGGTTAATTCCTGAATTTTGCTTTAGTTCAATAACAAGAGCAATACCTAGCAATGGTATCAGAGCTCCCGATCCTGGGAGCATCTGATGGTATCGACCAGAATGGAGAACTATTTAGAAAGTGTTGAACGCAGGTTAGAAGGAATGCAAGCTTCCATTCAGGAAGAGTTCCACCGACAGATGGAAGAGATGATGTGGACAATGACAGAGCGGGTTGACACTGCAGTAAGGGATGCTAGGAGGGAGAGGGAAGGTGAAAACAACAGAGACGGAAAACATTGGGGAGAGACTTTGCGACGGGAGGAACGGGTGAAACGGGTTGAGGTGCCATACTTCGGCAGAGACAATCCGCATGGATGGGTCTAAAAAGTGGAATGCTATTTCGCGATAAATAGAATCCCTAAGGCGGAGAAGGTGCACAGCAGTGGTGTGTTTGGAAGGAAGGGTATTGAATTGGTACCAATGGTGGGAACCTTGGATGCTGGCGGTTACTTGGCTGATATTCCAGCAAGCGCTTCTTGGTAGATTTCAGATGTCATCTTCAAAGAATCCATATGAAGTTTTGATGGGTTTGAAACAAAAGGGCTCAATTGAGTATCAGGGGCAGTTCGAACTCCTCTCAGCTCCACTGCGTTTTGCGGATGAGAAATTCATGATAGGAGCTTTCTAAAATGGATTAAAAGATGAAATCAAAGCAAAAGTGAGGATGATAAGTTCCAGCGAGTTGCATACCGTAATGGAGATGGCGCAAAAGATAGAGGAGAAGAATCGGCTTTTGGGTCACTTGTACGGACCATTGGGTAGAGGAGATGGGTCGAGTGCCAACAAACCCAATTGGCCCGAAGGGGTTTTGGGGCCCAAGAAGGGATAAGGACAGAACCTCTTATTCCTTTGGACAGGGAACAACCAGCAGTTGGGAGTCAGGTTGAAACCCAAGGCACCAAAGGAAGCAACTGTGAAGGCAGTGCCGCAAGCTCCAATCGGAGAGGGCTGGGCTTTAAGAAATTGATATAGGAGGAGGAAAATGAGAAGAGACGACAGGGATTGTGTTTTAGCTACAATGAGAAGTTTACCCTAGGCCAAATTTGCCGGAACAAGCAACTCCACATGATTTTGCTCAGAGAGGAGGAGGAAAAGAACCAACAGAAGAGTGCAAAAGAAATGAAACTTCAGCTGAATGTTAGTAGCATTGCCGGAATGACCTCAAAGAACTCGTTGAAGCTATGGGGTATTATAGTAGAGAAAAAGGTCATTGTAATGGTGAATTCAGGGGCATCCCACAACTTTCTATCTCTGAGTTTGGTAGAAGAGTTGAAAATCCCAGTAGAGGCAATGAAGGGATATTTTGGGGAAGTGGGACGAGGTCAAAGGATAGGAAGTTAGGGGGTCTGTAGAGGGGTTGAACTGGAACTAACAAATTTGAAGGTGGTTTAGGATTTTTTTCTTGTTCGATTTGGTAGGTGTGAATGTGATCCTTGGTTATGAATGACTCAAAAGTTTGGGCAAGTTTAGTGCAGACCTTAGACAGCACCTAATTGAGGTGTAGAAAGGTGGGCAAATCATAGAGATTAGGGGTGATGTAGCCTTATTCTGTAGAGTGGCATCATTAAAGACTATAAGAAAGGAGTTGAGAAGTGAGGCAGAAGCTTATTATGTGGAGTTGGGAATGATGAATATAGTCTGCGTGTAGGCATTAACTCAGATTACAGAAGGATTCCCAGAAGAACTGAAGAAACTTTTAAAGGAGTTTGGGGACATATTCAAGGAAAATACTTCCCTGCCACAGAAAAGGGATTGTGACCATGCTATTGTTCTAAAAGGAGCACAAATTCCTAATATCCGTCCTCATCAACATTCACATAGACACAAGGAGGAGATTGAAAAGTTTGTTAAAGATATGTTAGCTGCAAGGCTGATCAGACCCAGCACCAACCCATACTTTAGTCCCCTTATTTTAGTAACGAAAAAAGATGGAATTTGGCTTTTTGTGTGGACTATCGAGCTCTTAACAGCATTACCATTCCAAATAAATTTCCTATTCCAGTAATTGAGGAATTATTGGATGAGCTTAGGAGGGGCGACTGTCTTCTCTAAACTAGATCTTAAATCTTAATATCACCAAATACGCATGAAGGAGGAAGATATTCATAAAACCGTCTTTCGAACACATGAATGGCACTACGAATATTTGGTGATGCTGTTTGGGTTCACAAGTGCCCCTTCAACATTCCAAGCTCTCATGAACCAAATTTTTAGACATTATCTACATAAATTCGTGTTGGTATTTTTTGACGATATCTTAGTATACAGTCCTGATTGCTTTTCACATATTGACCATTTGCGTGTAGTTTTCCTACAGCTGCGTAGTCATGAGCTGTGGGTCAATAGTAAGAAGTGTAGCTTTGGAGAAAAATAGTTGGAGTACCTTGGGCATATCATTTCAGCAGTGGGAATTTCAGCATATCCAACAAAGGTTGCAGCAATGAAGAATTGGCCTATTCCTAAAGATATTAAAGGTTTAAGAGAATTCTTGGGTTTGGCAGGTTATTATCGCCATTTTGTATGCAATTACAGGGTCATTGCTAAATTGCTTACGCAACTCTTGAAAAAGAACAGTTTCAAGTGGTCAAAGGAAGCACAAATAGCTTTTTAACAACTGAAATTGGCAATGGAGGGTTTGCCAACATTGGCTATGCCGCATTTTGAGCTGCCTTTTGTGATAGAGACTGATGCCTCTGGATATGGTATTGGGGCAGTCCTAATGCAGCAAGGTAGACCATTGCCTTTTATCAACCAAGCCCTATTAGACTAAAATAAGGTGAAGTCAGTGTATGATCGAGAGCTCATGGCAATAGTGTTTGCTGTGCAAAAATGGCGCCAATATTTGTTGGGTCAGCATTTTATTATCAGAATAGATCACCGGAGTTTGAAATTTCTTTTGGAACAAAGGGTCTTGGTGGGTGGGAGAGCAGTTAAAGTGGGTGACTAAGTTGTTGGGTTTTGACTTTGAAATCCAATACAAGCCCAATTTAGAAAATAAACCAGCCGATGCTTTATCTAGAGTAATGCACTGCAATGCCATATCTATGGTCACCAACTCAGATTTGGTGGAATTGGCTGAGGAAATTTTGGGGGATGAGCAATTACGTATGATTATGCAGCAAACTGTAATCAATCTGCGTTCCCACCTGCATTACTCAGTTTCTAAGGGCTGCCTCTGGTTCAAACAGCAGCTAGTGCTACATAGGACTTCTACTAGAACTCCACTCTTGTTAGCTGAATTTCATGCATTATCCTAGGGTGGTCATTCAGGGATTACTAGGACATACAAAAGGTTGGCCATGGCATTTTATTGGAATGGTATGAAGCAAGACGTGGAAAATTTTGTGATTACTTGTTAGATTTGTTAACAAAACAAATCTAAAACACTTAAACCTGCTGGATTACTCCAACCATTACCTATTCCAAACCACATGTAGGAAGAGATCTCCATGGACTTTATTGGTGAATTACCCAGGAGTAAGGGGGCTGACACCATCATGGGACCATCCAGAATGGCAACAAGCTATGCTAGACGAGATGTGTGCATTATAGAAAAGTGGAACTTGAGACCTCATTCCTCTACCACCAGGGAAGTTAGTTGTTGTTTGTCGATGGGTGTATACGGTAAAGGTTGGTCCAGATGACAAGGTTGACCGGCTTAAGGCCTGTCTCTTCACCAAAGCCTATACTCAAATCTTCGGGTTGGATTATGGCGACACTTTCTCTCTCGTGGGCAAATTGCCTTCTGTTCGACTATTCCTGTCCATTGCTGCCATACATCATTGGCCTCTCTATCAGTTGGATATCAAGAATATTTTCTTACATGGTGATCGGCTCGAGGAAGTCTACATAGAACAACCTTCTTGCTTTGTTGCTTAGGAGGAGTCTTCTGGTCTTGTATGTCGACTGCAAAAATCTTTATATGGCCTCAAGCAATCACCCAGAGCATGGTTCAACAGATTTAGCACTATGATTCAATACTTTGGCATGACTCGGAGTGAGACTGACCATTCTGTCTAATATCGTCACTCACCTACCAGTTGCATCTACCTGGTTGTTTATGTTGATGACATTGTCATCACGGGTAGTCATCATATCGGCATCGCACGAGTGAAGCAGCATCTCTTTAAACATTTTAAGACAAAAGATCTTGAAAAACTTAAATATTTCTTAGGAATAGAAGTAGCACAGTCCAAAAATGGGATCATCATATTCCAAAGGAAGTAGCCAATGGATATTCTGGAAGAAACAGAAATGTTAAATTCCAAGACAGTCGATACTCCCATGGATCCCAAAGTCAAGCTCCTGCCAAATCAAGGGAAGCCTCTTCTAGATCCTAAAAAGTACAGACGATTAGTAGGGAAGTTGAACTACCTCACTGTTACCCGTCCAAATATCTCATTTGCAATGAGTGTAGTAAGTCAATTCCTCAACTCTCCATATAAGGAACATTGGGACGCAGTGACTCACATTATTCGATACATCAAAGGAGCTTCAGAAAAGGGTCTTTTGTATGAGGACAAAGGACACTCGAGTTGTGGGATATTTTGATGTAGATTGGGCAGGATCTCCCATAAATAGAAGGTCCACCTCTGGATTCTGTATATTTGTCGAACATAACCTTGTCTCTTGGAAAAGTAAGAAGCAATATCTTGTAGCCAGGTCAAGTGCGGAGGTAGAGTATCAAGCTATAGCTATTGCGAGTTAGGAGCTAATATGGCTCAAACAGTTGCTTCAAGAATCAAAGTTTGGAGAGGTTACACATGTCACTTCTATGTGATAACCAGGCCGCCATGCATATGCCTCAAATCCAGTATTCCATGAGAGGACAAAGTACATCGAAATTGATTGCCACTTTGTTAAAGAGAAAATCATGTCTTGGAAAATATCTACTAGTTTTGTCAATTCCCATGAGATATATTTACTAAGTCACTAAGGATCCTCGGATTAACTACATATGCAACAAGCTTGGTGCATATGACTTGTCTGCTCTAGCTTGAGAGGGTGTGTTAAAATCTATTAAAATCTAGTAAATATAATAACTATATATTTTATAATTATGTACTCTTTCTTGTAAAATTGAATAGCTCAGCTATGCCTAAGACACACGGATTCATTCTAATGTCTCTCAATATTTCCTCTTTCAACAAATATATTTACATATATTTAACAGTAGGATCAATCACAACCCTGAGTTTTCAATTACATATTCTTTGTCCAAAGGAGGAAAGAGGACATGAGGAATTCTAATAGGAAACATAAGATATCTACATAACCCCTGCATAATTATGTTTACTCACTGTGAACAATCAATTGAATAATTGATCCAATGAAAAAGGAAACATCAAGAGGAAGGATGAAATTGGTAAGGAAAGCAAAAAAGATGAAAAGGCCATGAAAGGTACCTAAGGAAAAGAAAGAACTCATATTGGAGCGGAAAAAGGAAACTTTGGAGTTAATAGGCAAGATAAGGAATCTAGATTTCTATTACCACACCAACAGTAAAGGCTTAAAAGAATTGTCATTTGAGCACTTGACCAACAAGCAATAATATCATACAAACCCACTAATGAGAAGAACCAGAAATTCCCAAAGCGGCATATATCTTTTCAGATACTTCTTTATCAAACAAGCTCTATCTACTGTCAAACATCAGCCTGAGAATCGTCCTAGATGAGCACCACTGACTGTATCATCCAGCACCAAATTCACAATGATTCATAGCAATAGCACAGGCAGGGTGAACAAATCAAGAAAAAAGTCCTAGCATATGAAAATTCAGCCATCTGTAAAGTGAATTGAAGTAGGGTTGAGATAAAGAAACACTCACCAAGGTTACATTCAAAATTCCAAAACAGCCACTTCTCAGACCACTGAAATTCAGATGAGAGAACAAAATAATCACCCACTCAATCTTAATATTAAAACTTATGACAAATAGTTCATATCAAGATGAGGCAATAAATGGAGTCAAAGCATTCCGTATTTGGACAGTGGCAGAATTAACACGTCCCACAATGCATTGAGGCACTCCACACAAGGTTTTATCTTCCAAAATTTAGGTCCTGTGTTTTGCGAGTTCAGAGACCTGAAGTCTCCTACTTTTACATTAAGAAGTGGCCACAATAGACAAGCTCCTTGATAATTTCAGGGAGTATTAAGTTGGTCCTACTGTACCTTCGACAACCTTTTACTAATTATAAAGGTTCGGGAAAAGTGACTAAAAAAATAGGTTAGACAGAAATTAAAATCTATAAGAATCACCTGCAAATGGCTGAAGTTAAACACAGAAGAACCAAAAACAGTGCATTCCTAGAGAATGCCACGGTCTCACCACTTTGCGCTGAAAATATCGATGCTGCCAATATACTCGGCATGGTGATTTCTGAAAGCTGCAGCAGCAGAATAAATATTGAGGATTAACACAGATTGGGAGAAAACAATAGAAAAATGATGAAGCTACAGTGCTTCACATATATCAAGTTGCACCAATCAGTTTATGATGATCAGTACCTTTACCACCATTAACAAAATAAAAGTTTGTAACCATAACTCCAGTGCCACTAACTCTTGCTGGACAAAGGGGTCATATTACATTATTACACAATACACACATTGGATTTTACAAAAAATCCATTGAAACACAACCCAAGGAATATATATAATTTCACTAACCAGACTATATGAGAGAAGAAAGAAACACAATTAAATATAAAATTTGGTTCCTGAAAGATGTTAATTGTGTTGCTTTAGTTCCAAAGTTAACTAAAAAAGTTCCACGTACCTAAGTTGCAAATTGCTAAAAAGTTCAGACACCTATTTATTTTAAATTTGAGTACAATTAACTTTAAATATTTGAATGTAAATGCGATGCAGGGTTAAATAAAAATGGATACCCTTCATCGTTTGAGAACTAGTTTATATAAAACTAACACAACATAAGTAACATCTTACAAACGAAGCATATATAAAAAGAAAGCAAAGCTTCTCCGTTTTCGCTGTCACAGTTCACACTCACAGCAGCGACAACGAGGGACCCAACTGCCACAAACGCAACCAATCGCTGGTCGGAAACCAACTCCCATGTTCGCCGGAGAGCGACCATCGCCGTCAGCGGTCCCGCGCCGTGTTCCTGGTGCTCCGGCAAGGTCCACCAGCTACCGCCCGGTAAAATGGAGGTCACGAACCCGACCCGTTTTGCGAGAACGTTTGGGAACCGGCAACCAGAGTCCCCGTTTTCAGACGTGGAGAATTGGCAACGGATTTTCGCGGTGCTGACCCGGAAGGTTTTGGAGCGACCCGATCCAGTGAAGGAGAAGAGAAAGTGGGTTTGGGGTTTGTTGTAGTTGCAGGTGAAGAAGGTGTTCCATTTTGGCATGTTGGATGGGTCGAGCCTGGTGTGAGGAAAACGAAGGATGTTTGGGTTACCGGACATGATCAGTGCTTTCTGTTATGTTCACAAACTACGCCATTTGCATTCTTCATTTTCTTTTTTCAGCACACCCGTTAGTTCGTGACATCCTAAGCATCAATTCAATTAATCCACGACATTTTTAAATAAACTGGTTAAAAAATGTTTGACATTTTAATTTAATTAATTACTTTTTTGTTGGTGTTAATTTTTGCTGACAGAGTCGTCATAACATGTTTCATGTCATCTTATTTGTTCTTTATCGATTAGAACTATATCTTAGGTTATATTACTAGTGTCAACCTTTTCATCCAAATTTTAATAGTATTTTTAAATTTAAAATAAGTAATAAATCATAATTAGTGTAATGTTAAAAAATTTGTTCAATGATTGTGAAGTTTTGTTGACTTTCTTGTAACCCCAAAAATTCTCACTTTATTTTTTTTAGAATTTAAGTTATTTAGTCTATGTTCTTTCATTTAATGTATGATGTTAGATTAAATTCTGTCCAAAAATATTTAAAAGATAAATCTATTATTCTTTTCTGAATTCGAATGAGATATCTTTTTTTTTTTCCCTCTTTTGTAACTTTATCTATATACATACATGTACATAACATGCAATGCATCTTAGATTTTGTTCTCTCTCTTTGAACTTATCAATTTCAGTTTCCACTTGCAAAATATAAGAAAGGAAGACAATTTATCACTTTTCTGTTTTCATTCAAGTTCACATCATTTAAAGAAAAGTAACTCTCAGTTTTCCTGTTCCAACTTGTGAAAGCTGAGACAGTAATTACTCTCAACTCTCTTACTCACTCTCAATGTAATAGATTGAAAAGGAAACTTGAAAATATTATTGTCCTAAATGAATACAATCAGAGACCTTAAGCCTTGTTTTATACAATTGTCTTTAACTATATTTTTCTTTAAAAACTCACCGTCATTTACTGAATGACTGAATTAATCAGTTTCTTTGACTAAGTCAGCCTTATAGCTGACAATTACAATAATACTCCTTATATTCAACTATTACAATTTTTCCCCTACAAAATATGGATTTGACTCCAAGTCCATCAATTAGCATGCTAATTAAAATTAGGAAACTGAGTTATCATGTCTTGTAAGTCTCTCTATACTGCATCTTTAGGGTTTGTCTCTTGCCATTGTACCAAAACTTCAGTAATGGCCTTATTGTTTCTGTTCTTCATTCTTCTATCTAGAACAGCAAGAGGTTGAGATTGAAATGCTCCATCTTCATCTGTGTAAGGTAGTTCCATGGATATCACATTATCACCATAGTGCTTTTTCAATAGGGAGACATGAAATACATTGTGAATTCTAGCTGATGGTGGCAAATCTAATTTGTATGCAACATTGCCAATTCTTTCAATAATTTTGAAGGGACTATAAAATCTTGCTGCCAGCTTGTGAAAATGAGTATTAGACAGTGTTTTGCCTATATGGTTGTAATTTGAGATACACCATATCATCACAGTTGTATTCTTTGTCTGTTCTGTTCAAATCCACATACAACCTCAGTCTTTCCTGTGCTTTTCTGATATTCTATTGCAAAAGCTTCATGATCTCCTTTTTTGATTTCACTATATGGTTAACTACTTCCACCAGAGAATCGCCATGTAATATCACAAAAGGAGTCGGAGGTGGATACCCATATAAAGCTTCAAAAGGAGTCATTGGTATAACTGTGTGAAATTTAGTGTTGTACCATAATTCAGCCAATGGCAAGTAAGAGGACCATTTCCTAAGAAGATTTCCTGTCATACACCGCAAATAGGCTCCAACTGATTTGTTTAATTCTTCTATCTGTCCATCTGTCTGAGGATGGAAAGCAGTAGACCTGAGTAACTTCACTCCCTAAGCCTTCATCAATTCAGTCCAGAATTTGCGCATAAAGATAGAGTCCCTATCCAATGGTTAGATTTAGGGAGTGTCACAACCGGGCGATCGCAACGGTACGACGGATGACAAACTCGTTCCAAAATATCAGAGGAGTCGCCACCAAAGTTTATTTTTAAGAAAAACCTTGGAAAAACTTAAATATAATACGATCTTTGAAACCAAAAAATAAGTTCGGGAGTCATTTACGTGTAGGGAAGGTATTAGCACCCTACAACGTCCGTTTAAAAAACGGTTACCTAAAATTAATTGTACAAAATTATTCTAATTTTGAAAAATATTTATTTAACCCCTAAACATTAATTATTTTATTTTAGAAGAAGAAATATTATTTATTGAAATATTATTCGGATTATTTTAAAAAATATTTTGACTTGACGGGTATGGTTCCTGCTCCTACGTATCCCCGGATGCAATGGGGAACTCAAAGCCACGTAGTTCTATCTAAAAATTATGAAATTAGTTGATTATAATTAAGTTTAGTAAAAAAAAAATTTATTTTAGAATTAAAATCATTTTTCGTAAAAATTATAATGTTTAGGATACAAGATAATGCAGTTATACATGTACCCTACGAGAAAACAATACAGAAAGTGAAGGAAGATCACACAACTATACTGCCAATCATTAAGAAATATTTTATTCGTAAATGGAGTATTTGAATTTTAATTTTGATTATGATTAATATTGAAAGAAATTTAAGATAACGTAAGCTATACATAAACTTTTTATAATTTATTAGACTATCGAAGGCAATGTAAATTACACATCGATATTATAAAAATTTATAAAATGAATAAATTATAGTAATTTAATTTATCAAAATTTGAAACATGACTTAAGAAAATAAAAAAATAATTTTATTTGAATTGATTAAAGAAGATACTCATTTAATAAAAAACATTAAAAATTTTATTTGATAGATTTATATTATATAAAACCTAAGGTAACGTTGGTACACATAGATTTTGACAATTTATAACGCATAAAGGTAGAGTCGCTACACATTAGCATTATAAATTATTTCTTAATAAAATAATTTAGATTTAAATTAGTTGATTGATTTGTAAATTAGTATTTGGAAGAGAAATACATCTTGCATTATTATTAAAGTGATTAACTAATTAATTAATGACAATATGTGATAAGTTAATATTGCATAAAGTCTTGGTAACGTAGGTACACATAGACTTTATCAATTTATAATACATGACGATAGAGAAGCTATACGTTAGTATTATAAATTGATACAATTATATTATTATTTATTAATTAATTATAAAAAAATAAGTAATTTAATATTCACAATATAAAATAAAATAATCGTAAATATAAAATTAAATCGCATTAATATGATACAAATATACAATAAATAAAATAAAAGATAACAATCCTAAAAAATAAGATATAAATAATGAAATATAAAAAAGAAAATAATTTAAAAAAAATCAACTCAGATATGATATTGTAAAGTAAACGGTATCAAGCGATTTTAAATAAATAAAATAAAATAAAATAATTTAAACAAAGTTAACATAAAAAAATAAAATAAATAATAAAAACTCATTCATTAAATAAATTAATAATTATCATAATAACAAATAATAATGATGATGAATAAATAAATAAAACTAAAACAATAAATTATATGTTGAACTAAATAATGATAAAAATAAAATAAATAAAAAAATTCAGACAAAAAAAAAAGGATAAAATGGTCTCAAATTTTAAATTTTTAGATTTGAGAGGGAAGGACTTTAGGGTTAGGGGTGTGCTTTTCTCCAAGAAAAACAAAAAAAGGTTATGAAAGGGTGGAGGTGAGGTTAATGGAGGCCATGGTTTTGAGTGGTGAAGGTTATTGAGAGCAAAAGGAAGAGGAATGAGACAAGGTAGGGAAAGAGTTTTTTTTATGGTGAGTTTTGTGTTTGTGGATGATGATAGATGGAGGAATGGGTGGAGAGGTGGTGAGACATGGATATTTGAAATGGTGGTTTAAAATATTTTTTTTTCATTTGAGATTGATTTGATATAGGAAATGTTTATTCAAAATATAAATATGTATGAAGAAGAAAAATGTGTAAAATGTATGATGAAGCTTACTTGATGTTCTTGAAAATTTTTGCTTGCCTCTTGTTCTTCCTCCTTTCCACTAACCTTTCTTTCTCTCTATTTTCTCTTTTTCTCTCCCCGTTTTAGAATGCCTCCTCTCAAAAATTTTTTAGCCTCCTCTAATGTCTCTCTGCTCCATGGTCCTTTTTTCCTTTTATTGTTAGGGTTTTCACCAAAAGGTCCAAAATTCTGAATTTTTCCTTTTTTATGTATAAAGTAACATTGGTTCAAGAATTTAATTATTTGTCATATTCTATTTTCCTTTTAAAAATTAATTCTGAAATTTTCCTATTTTATTAAGACAAATTTTTGTTTTTTTTTGTTTTTTTTTTAAACCTTTTGATTCCATTCTTCTTTTGTAATATTAAAATTCAGATTTTTTATTTTTTTATTTTTTCATTTTTATTTAAAAAAAAAATTAAAATCAAAATTTTAGTGTTCACAAGGAGACCAACAATAAAGTTCATAGTGATTGATTTTCATGCTTGTTTAGGAATATCCAATGGTTGTAACAATCCTGCAGGTAACTTAAGTAAAGGTTTGTATTGTTGACAGATGCCACACTCCTGAATCCATTTTCTAACTTTTTTTTGTAAACCTTTCCAATAAAACTTCTCCTTAACTCTTTTGAAAGTGATATTGTTGCTAGAGTGCCTACCAATAGTAGAGTTATGAAAATGGTGTAGAATTTTCTTCTTTAGGTCAGTGTTCACACCAATCACTAATCTACCCTTCCTTCTCATAATATCCACATCAAAGTTGTAATGCTTATAAGACTGTTGTGTTAGTCTGATTTTATCTACTATCTTCAGCAATTTATGATCAGTTTTCCATGCATCCTTTGCCTCAGTCATTAGATCAGAAGTAACTACCAATAAAGTGGCTAAACTACCTTCACCTTCTTGCCCAGATAAAGAATCAACCACCACATTTTCTTTCCCCTTTTTGTATTCTATACTGAAATCCAAACCAAGCAATTTCTCTAATCCCTAGTTTTGCATTAAAGTGGTAGGTGGCTTCTCCAAAATCTGCTTGAGTGCCTTTTGATCAGTTTTGATTATAAAGTGTTGACCCATAAAATAGTGGTGCT